GCTTTATAAACGGCCTGGCTAAACACTGGGGCGTTATCATTAGCATCCAGTACAGTTACATGTATGACCACTGTACCCGATCTCTGAGGAGATCCGCCATCTAAAGCTGTAAGGAGCAAATTAATTTCCTTTTGTTTTTCTCGATCAAGTTCTTTATCCAGAACAAGCTCCACTGTGTTTCCATTAGCAGCTAGAATGAAATTTTCGTTCTTTTCAAGGCTATACTGCTGAACTGAATTTTGTCCTACATCCGCATCGTGCGCCTCCTCGATCACAAAGCGAGCTCCGCTGTCTGCCGACTCCCGAATTTCTAAGTTTATTTTTGCATCCTTAAATACTGGCGAGTTATCATTAATATCTTGAATATGAAGGCTAATCCGGTGCAGCTCCAGAGGATCCTCCAAAACGAGCTCCTGTTTTAGGATACATGAAGCCTTTTTGCCACAAAGGCCCTCACGATCAATCCTCTCCACCACAATCAGCGCTCCGTTTCTCACGTTGATGTCACAGTAACGTTTATCGCTCTCCTCGGTTTCAATTCGGGCTCTTCTGGTGGACAGCGCACCTGTCTGCAGCCCGAGATCCTTTGCGATATTTCCAATAACTGATCCTCGTTTCATCTCTTCTGGTACGGAATAACTCTGTTCTCCATGCGCGACGTGCAGAAGAAAAAAAGAGAAACTAATCAGCCACGGAAAGACTACCATTGTTAAACCCGCTTTCAAATGTTAGTTCTCAATGGTAGTCGTTCCTTTAATATCACCGGATAATATGAAACAACGAAATGCGTCAATTCAGCGATCCTCCTTCTTAATGTAGAACAGTTCTAAGGCTCAAATCCGGGATGTTAACAAAGGAAGGAGGGATGATGTTATTTTAGGCTGGTATATGGCGACATCTTGAGCTCAGTGGAACAACATTACTCGCATTAATCAATGCAAAAAATCGAACTGACCAAATGTTTGTGTTTTAAAACTTTAAACAATTTTCCTTTTAATAGACATGACAAATCTGTTAAGCTTGGTCTAAGAATACCCTACATCTTAATGCACTTACATCTCCCTTCACTATTCAAGTGAACAATGCTTTATCGACTTATATTTTAAACAGTTGTTACCATAAAATTTATGAAAGTTTTTCCAGGTTTTGTTGAACCTTTTAATACAAGTAGTAACAATAAAGTGCCGCATAATTACCAAGTAAAATCTAACATTTTACCCAGTTTATAAAGGGAAACTGTACAGCAAGGGAACGTTTTTGTTTTGTAGAGTTTAAACAGATATATCATCATGTAACTCATGCAAGATTGTACATTTGTACTTACGCTGTACATAAAGTAACACCAGTAAAATACTGCATTATTGCAATGTAAAACACAACAAATTATCCAATATGTATAGGGAAACTGCACTGTAAAATAAGGCCAGTATTCTCTCAGATTTTAAACAAACATAGAAAAGTAACTCACAATGGATTGTAAATTATTTTCATTTAACTACTCCACAAACTAGAAATAATAAGAATCTGCATTTTCAACAAATATAACACAATATTAACCAGTAAAGAAGGCAACACTCTACTGTAAAGGAAAGCCAGTTATATATACTTTTTACATTTATTATCATGTAGCTCGCAGCAAAACTTACAAATGAAAGCTTTTTTCAGATTTGTCTCTTCCAGTTAAACACAAACTGTATCGGGTTAAGGCAGACATGCCTGATGAATAAAGGGCCTGTTCAAGGGAACCTTATCAAATAAGAAAGTAGAGTAATAGAACTTTTCCATTTTGGCTGTAACATATTTCATTACTGCAGTTTTGTACATCAATATGTATATATGAAAGTAAGAAAAAATATGTGTGTTATTATAAGTGAAATACAAATGAATTGCTCACTGACAGAAAACATAACTAGCTCACACATATAGAATTTCATCTGTAAAAATAAAACTACAATCATCAAAAGCAATGCTTCCAAAGCAGGGCAAGCCACAACATGAGAAATGAGGCTGAGATTGGGTTACCATAATACTAATCGGAAAAACATGAAATTCACAGTGAGGGATCTTTGTAAGTGATGGTTCCAGGCTTAAATTTTCTGGCAGTATTTGCAAATATATGCACAACAACCAGAGATACATATGTGGGAGTTTGATGAACTCTGAGGAAATTGACTTATACATGATGGACATCAGCCAGACTACAGAAAAAACACAATCCATTCCTCATGATATGCAACAGCAACCTGTTTATCCCTGATGCAGCAAGAAGACAGAACAACAACCAAAAGTTAGAACCACAAACCAACTTTAGCCGCCTCACCTAAAAGTCAATAAATAATAGGAGCCTTTTCCAGGTCATTCTTTGACTGGTTTCCAATATGATTTTATTTTAGACAACAATATTATCCAGGATTTAAAAGTTTTAGAAACTTGATCATATAGTTGACCTTGACCAAAATCATGAGTTGTTGCATAAAAATGTTGTAATCTGCCATATAATTGTTGACTTTGTAATATTCAA